ACACCGCCATCTTGTGCCGACTAAACTGACTTGAACGCACCTGACGTCGTAATTACGACTTGTCAACTCGTAAGCACGAACGTCCCAGGAGGACTTGAACGCAGCATAAATGGGTCGACACGGGTAGTTTTTTGCCTCTTACTCCGATTTTGCGTGGCATGTAAACGCAATAACCCGCTTTCTGTCGGCTTATTGAAGTGCACATGTGTGATACATGACAGGAGCGCATCGTTAGTGCAGATTTAAGCGCATCTAGACAGAGCAAACATCTTGCAGTAAAGAAAGAAGGAAATATATCACAAAAGCAGACTCTTTCATGATAAAAATGTGTTATCTCGTGCAGCAGAAGTAGAAGTGGTTCAGTCAAAATGCTGTATTTATAACTGTAGGCTAAGTTTCGCGCTGACATGTTGCAAGCTTTATTTAACATCACAAATGACAAACATATGGAATACTCTGAGTCAGATACGCAAATGATTATATTTCGACGTCACTACAGGGAAATAACCTGATTTATTACTGAAGTCATGTAAACACAGCTACTTGTGTTGTCAGGTTACTGATGTGCATGTAAACGGGGAAAACTGGTTATTTTAATAAGCTGATATTTGTGAGTTATCAGCTTACTGGTGTGCATGTAAACGTGCTCTTGACTCTGGTGAACAAGCTGAAACTTATATCCTGTTTTTTAGCCATCCAAACCAATTGGTAGGGCTGGGTAAAAACTACTTCTACTGTTGATATGAAACAAAGTCTCAGATTTCAAATTCTGTCCATTGTATTTCAGTATTCAAACAATAGATGCCGTTTTGGTGCTGTTTAATGTGAGTGACAGATTGCTGTAGCGCCTCAGCTCAACAGAAGCGGCAGTGGGAAGTGATCATAACTTCTGCTTTAATACCAGATTCAGCATGAAATAAACATAAATAAACATCTGAAGGTAAGTTAAAAGAAAGAGGACAACAGTATTACAGAGTAGCTACAGTATTCGCTCAATCGGTGTTTTAACAGTGTTTTTCTTTGCTTGGTTGGAACAGCAGCTACGCTAATTTAGTCTCTATCTGCTTCTCTGTTTCTAGGAATTACACAAGCTTCAGTCTGGATCCAACCCTTACGAAGATCTGAGATGACCTGAGAAGAGATGATGCCAACCCCTCAGAAGACCTCAGATGACGCTAACCCTGAACAACATATAATACTACCAAATTTTGCTTAATCGCAACGTTTAATCGCAACATATAATCATTGCAGTTAATGGTGTTCACCATCTGTTTGATTACGTGTAATTTGTAACTAACCGCATTATTCTTACTGTACATTTCTGCCATAGTCACCACTAATAACCTACTCCTAAATGTAATGTAGAAACGTAATATTTTCTGTAAAGCTGCTTTGAAACGATTGTTATTGTGAAAAGCTTTATACAAATAAACTTGAATTTTTTAATTGAATTTTAACCGTGCAAAGACCTCAATGTAACAGCTTGTAAACAATGTCACGTAACGTCACATTTACCTCAGAAAAAAACATATTCGGTGACCATAAACTCGTTAGTCGGCTAGAAAAAAGATTTTTTTCCCCTAAATATATGCACCATATAATGTATTCATTAAAGCAATAAGCCCCGTGAAGCCGTGGTTTACAGTGAATTTATAACAGCTAAGGGGCGTTGTTAGGTACGACGTGAAGCAGAGTGCCTAAAACCCCCTTAGCTGTTATAAATTTTAAATTGTAAACCACGGCTTCACGGGGCTTATTGCTTTTATAAAACGGTTATTCCATATACATAGTACGGTTTCACAAAATAAAACAGAGCAAATAAAGTGTAATGATATTAATAAAAACAGTATTCTTCCACCAAACAATGTAGTTCCTCAGAAACAGTTATGGTTGCAACAAAGTGGTTGCCCAGCAACACACCGAAGTAAACAAAGGTGTGTGTTTGTAGAGTAATTTACAACAGCTTCGAACGTGGCTCAACCAATCAGAATCAAGGACCGGAACTACCCGCTTTATAATAGAATTTTTTACTGTTCTTCAATGTTTAATTTGTTTGAATAAATCCGTCAAGTTTTTATGACAGTCACCATTTAAATGTTTATATAAAAAAACAAAGTGGAGTAGAAATATTATTGTGTAATTGTTACTTTATAATGATAAAAAACTCATTATAGTGTAATTTACATTACATTACAGTTACATTTAGTCATTTAGCAGACGCTTTTATCCAAAGTGACTTACAAATGAGGACAATAGAAGCGATCAAAATCAACAATAGAGCAATGATACGCAAATGCTATGACAAGCCTCAGTTAGCTTAACGCAGCACACGTAGCAAGTTTTTTTTTTATTATATAATAAATAAAAAGAAAACACAGAACAGAAAAAGAATAGAGCAAGCTAGTGTTAGAGGCCTTTTTGCTTTTGTTAATTGTATAATAAATAAAAAGAAAAGGAACAGATAGAATAGAAAAAGAATAGAGAAGCAAATGGTTTTTTTTTTTTTAAGTCTTAATTTAAGTGGTTGTATTCGAATCAGTTTATTTTAATCTTCAATAGGCTATTATAATAATGCAGTACCAACTGACTCTCATGTATATTTAACAGCATTGAGAGATTTTTTTCCCTTGAGAAAACGTGGCATGTACTGTACATGATATATATCCAAAATAATCCATATTGAATCAAATTTAATCGGTAATCGAATCAAATTGCAAGCTTGTGAATGTGAATCGAATCGTGAAATTTGTGTCAAAACCCAGCCCTACCAATTAGACCTTTTTTAATTGAAAATAGCAGTGAACACATATTTCATTACAACAAAGCACTGTGTAAGTGTCCTTATAGAAGTTTGGAGTGAAAGCGTGTACTTGCCAGCTGCCCTTGAGTGATGTACTTTTTCCACCACAGATACGGTCTGATGGCTGGGACAGCAGAGAGGCCGTAGTACGAGTACATCAGCACATGGATGAAGCTGTTAAACGTGGCGCCAAAGTAGGCTGATGAAAAGAGCAGTAATATCAGCATTAGTCAATCAATCACAAATCAAATCAACCACTGAAGCAACACATTAGGCTTCCCCATGACTTCATGTATTTTAAAATGTACAATCTCACAATTTATTATGATTTCTATTTTCATAAATAGTCAGCATTATGCACTTCAATCAATAATCGCTAACCACAATCTATTCTAAGAAGTAAATGGATCCGTTAATGCCAGAGATCAACTGAACACACTTCTTTAAATATCACGCTGCATTATGCAAACAGTTACTTAAAGACCACATGGACAAGCATTTTTTCCCCGGTTCTGTTTGCTTTGTTTTTATGCATCTGAATAATTCAGCATATAAAATGCACCATAAGCTCCTTCAGAAGGATTTGACTGCGAAACCAGGGCAGTTTCTCTGCGAGGAGCTTACAGTGGCCACACGGCACCCAGTTCATGACGAACCACCAGATGTTGAGCACGGTGGCGTGATGGTAGACGTGCAGGAAGCTGATCTGGTGGTTGTTCTTCCTCAGAATGAAGAAGAAAGTGTCCATAAACTCAATGAGTTTGGAGAAGTAATACCACCAAAGTACGTTCATCATCTGAGGAGAGATTAAAAGAGAAAAAATGACACAAGACGTCATTCCACCGAGGACATCACAAACATGCAACATCAGTCAACAAAACATCAACAAAAGTCATGAAATCATTAGGGCTGCAATGATTCTCAGTCCACTTCTGATTTCCATTTACACAGTTTTTGGTCTCTAACTATACACTAAACAACAAATATAATACTGCTAAAATGTATAAGCAATGCATTATAGCATAACAACATGAAATTTCCTTGTGAAAAAGAAGTGAACTTTAGTGCATTGAATATGCACTTGTAGTATTCTTCAAATCTTAGAAGTATATACCGGTAGTAAAAAAAAAAAAAAACTATAAAAGTATCGTATCGGGCGAGTACTGGAAAAAGTGGTATCGGTGCATCCCTAATTAGGGCTGTCAGTCGATTAAAATTTTTAATCTTATTAATTACAGGGTGCTGCGATTAATTAATCGAATTAATTGCAAACTAAATTTGGCTGTGAAAATACCCCAAAAGATAATTTAAACCTATTATTGTGTTAAATGTTTAGGTTACAATGGCCTAACAAAGTATGGAACATAAAAGAAGATAATTTGAGAAACATCTCAGTATTTTTTGTTCATGCAATGAAAGTCACTAGTGACCAAAACAGCTTAGTTATAGTCTTCAAAATACCTTCTTTTATGTTGTGCAAAAGAAAGTAAGTCATTCAGGTTTGAAACAAATTCAAGAGTAATATTTTCGTTGGCAAAATTGAACAAAAATATATTGCGTTTAAATTTTGCACAATATTAACTTCTTATTTACTGAACTGTTGCATAAAATCACATTTGCACTCGTGTTCTTCGTGACAAAAACAGCACTCGTGTGACTCTCGCTGCTGGATAATATGGATATTTTTCTTACAAAAACGCATGGATTTGTTACAGGAGGCCTTTATTCATGCCCCGGAGCCGTGTGAGGCACGTTTTATTACGGATACGCGCGCTTTATTTCACGTCTTCTGGACTGTTGACAAAAAGCACCTGCTTATCCCCATTGAAAGTATATAAATTATATAAATGAAATTATATGAATATAAATATATACATGTAAATATTTTCTAAATATATACGTGCATTTATAGCCTATATACATAATAAATATACACAGTACACACACATATATTATGTAAACAAAAACTTTTATTTTGGACGTGATTAATAGCGATTAATAGTTTGACAGCACTAATATGTATATAAAAATGCAAAGTATATTATTTCAGTAAAGTATGTTAAAGTGTACTTTTTTTTACAAGTGTCACTCGTTTAAAGTCGCTTGTTTAAAAAAAAAAAAAAACTCTTCACTAAGCCTTGTTTAAAAAAATTTTACTGCCCAAGTCACCACTGCTTCCATTCACCATATATTCAAATAACCTTTCCTCTTTTCTAATGTCAGACATTTTCCAAAGTTTTGGTATAATGCTTACATTTCTAATATGATATATGATTTCTAATATAACAGGGTACCCAGAGAGGATGAATTTTAAATCTTGAAATAAACCTTCATAGCTCCATGCAGTGGATCATGAGGTGACTGCACTGCCAAGAGCTTCCCAGCTACATAAATTAGCTTGTATATAAATAACTATTTTAGAATCCTAGCAAACAATACAGAGACAAAGGCAGTAGAACTATTCAGGAAAACCTATGTCTGAATTTTCCACCTAATGTGTGAAGCAGAGCAGCCAGTTTAACAGCACACTCACGCATTCCACCCAGAGGGAATATTGTGTCTTTAAGAGTAAAGCTGAAGCTTACATTATTCCAAATCTCACACAATGTAAAACGGAGTTTGTTGTGTTACCCTGTTGTCGGCCTCTCCTCCACTGTGGGTGTTCTGGCAGTAGAAGTTGTATCCGCCTTGATACACTGACATTACCAGCTGCAGAGACAGAAAGACAACAGAATTTATCATCATTCTCCACAACACTGCTTTAACCGTTCCTCCCAATATGTAACACATTAGTGGAATTAGTACTAATTCTTGTGGAGCTTGAGGATCAGTTTATATTAACAAAAAGTACAATGTAAATACCATGTTATATCAATATGGCCATTATCCAGCTCAGTTCCTGTTACTACCACTGTACCATGGTATTTTCACCAGGGCTCAGTCAGTCAGTAGATTTGCCTATGTGATATTTTCACGGTCACAAACACGGAAAAAAAGAATACATTTCATTTTTAGCATTTATAAGTGTCAGGGGGAAAATATGTTTAAAGCATATTACTAAAAATAAGGCAATATTATAAAACTACAAGAAAAAAAATATTTTTAATTCACAGTAACAGAAAAAAAATATTTATAATAAAAATAATGCAAATGAATAAAACTACAAGAAAAAAATATTTTTGTAATTCACAGTAACAGAAAAAAAAAAGTCATTCACAGTATCAGAATTAAAAACAATAAATGTAATTCATGTTAATAATGAATTCATATGGTTCAAAGCATTACTGATTTGTTTGATGCTTCATATCTACCACAAGTCTTGCAATTTCAACAAAACAGGTCATTAAATGGATAGAAATTCCCTTGCACACACATCCTTATTGTGAAGATAGCTTTAAGTAAGTGTATAAAATAGAGATGCACCGATTGACCGGCCAGTGATCGGAATCAGCTCATTCTCCACAACACTGCTTTAACCGTTCCTCCCAATATGTAACACATTAGTGGAATTAGTACTAATTCTTGTGGAGCTTGAGGATCAGTTTATATTAACAAAAAGTACAATGTAAATACCATGTTATATCAATATGGCCATTATCCAGCTCAGTTCCTGTTACTACCACTGTACCATGGTATTTTCACCAGGGCTCAGTCAGTCAGTAGATTTGCCTATGTGATATTTTCACGGTCACAAACACGGAAAAAAAGAATACATTTCATTTTTAGCATTTATAAGTGTCAGGGGGAAAATATGTTTAAAGCATATTACTAAAAATAAGGCAATATTATAAAACTACAAGAAAAAAAATATTTTTAATTCACAGTAACAGAAAAAAAATATTTATAATAAAAATAATGCAAATGAATAAAACTACAAGAAAAAAATATTTTTGTAATTCACAGTAACAGAAAAAAAAAAGTCATTCACAGTATCAGAATTAAAAACAATAAATGTAATTCATGTTAATAATGAATTCATATGGTTCAAAGCATTACTGATTTGTTTGATGCTTCATATCTACCACAAGTCTTGCAATTTCAACAAAACAGGTCATTAAATGGATAGAAATTCCCTTGCACACACATCCTTATTGTGAAGATAGCTTTAAGTAAGTGTATAAAATAGAGATGCACCGATTGACCGGCCAGTGATCGGAATCAGTCGATTTTTCGCATGACCGGCCCGGATCGGTGACCGGCCGGACAGTCTCATGTCTTGCCGATAGGGATGTGCGGATCGATCCTTAAAGGGGTCATATGACATTGCTAAAAAAGAACATTATTTGGTTTTTTGGTGTAATGCAACGCGTTTATGTGGTTTAAGGTTCAAAAAACACATTATTTTCCACATACTGTACATTATTGTTTCTCCTCTATGCCCCGCCTTTCTGAAACGCGTCGATTTTTACAAAGCTCATCGGTCTGAAAAGCGAGGTGTGCTCTGATTGGCCAGCTATCCAGTGCGTTGTGATTGGCTGAATACCTCAAGCGTGTGACGGAATAATTGTGTTGGATAGAACCATTTCTCCTGCTCATCGGAACACACGCAAATGCTGACAGACAGAACCAATCAATCACAGACAGCGTTAATAGAAAATAGTTATTTTTAATTGTTATATTTCTCAATATTGCTGTTTTTACTGTTTTTTTGTTTGTTTGTTTAAATAAGTGCAGCCTTGGTGAGCATGAGACTTAAAAAAATATTACAAAATCTTACAGACCCCAAACTTTTGTGTACATGTAATATTTATTTTAAATTGGCTAGTTTGTGCAAGTAAATTTATTTAAACTGGTTGTTAAAAGTTCAAATGGATTGTGTTATGTTCTGTAATTGCTGTCAAAAAATCTGTCAGAAAAAAAATATGAGTTTTGCCTTTAGGGGTACAACAGCCTGGCAGCCTTTTACAAAAAAATAACCATGGTTTTATTACAGTAACCACAGTTTACCACAGTATCTGTAGTAAAACTGCAGTAACCACAAATTTACCATGGTAATAATAATAATAATAATAATAATA